CGCCCCTCCCCCCCCCCCCGGTTCCACCGCGTATCCGCGCGGGAAGCGCCTGAGCGTCGCGCACACACACACCTCTACACAGTCGGGAGAGAGGCTGTCGATGTCGAGAACGCCTTGTGCTCGTTGCCGCTGCTCTTCGGAAGAGGTCAAAAGGTCTCGCACCACCGTGTGAGCTTCCACCCCGTTAATGAAGATCGGCACCGGTATCACGCCGCCCTTTTCCATGATCCTGCACACGGACACAACAAGTAACATGGCACGTGTGGGGACATGGAAGGATACGTGTATCGAATCGGCGGCAAGAATGACGTGAGTACCAGAGGGAAAGGAACCAAAATACGTCGGGTTGTTGACAACACACCTTCCTTGACCGGCAGCTACAGATTGTCATAGGAGCAGTTCCAAACAATGGCGCACTTAAGTTGACAGCAATGGCAACAGATGTTACAGCAATGGCAACAGATGTTACAGCACAACAGCACACAACGGAGCCCAGAGGTTGCCTGCCGACCAAGTGAGCGCCCAGAGAGAGAGACAGACGGACGGAGAGAGAGAGAGAGAAATCAAAACAGGGACAGAGACTACCAAGCGCCAAAAAAATGAACGCCCGTGTATCACATCACCACATCGTACTCGTGAACGCCACACGCCGCCCCAACAAAAACATAGAGCGGCACAGCTCCGTCAAGCCAGCTACTCAACACGCTTCATGGCTAAACTTGTGTCATGTTGCTGCTGACCTTATCATCTGGAAGATGTACCCCTGCTTGGTGATGACGTGCTTCCGGTAAAGCAACACCGCCACGCGCGGAGACCCCGTGGGTGCGACCTTGTGACCCCTCATGACCACCCCCGCCGACGCCGCCGCCTTAGCGGCAGCAGCCACCCTCTCTTGCTCCCCCTCGTACCACTCAATGTACTCCCTGGGGTTGGAGAAATACCGTCCCGCGGAAGGGTGGAAGAGTCCCAGAACAGGCGTTTCCTTGAGTTCTCCAGGGGCGGGAGCGGTTCCCGGCGGGAGGAGGTAACGGTCACCCAGGGTCAGGAACATGCTCAGAACGTTCTCGATCCCGCCCTGGTTCCAGTACGAGTAGATCTCGAGCCTGGTTGGTCATCGTCGCGGCCGTGGTCAACAGTCCGGATGGAAGCGAAGGGATACTAGAGAAGGTTTATTTGGTTCGTTCACTTGACTGAGAGTCCTGTCGTGCAGTCGGTGCGAGTACGTCTGTCCGTTGCTGTTTTGTCCGGTGTGACGGTAGCGTCGCCAACAAGGACGGTCGAGCAAGACAAGAGTGGACGGAATGAATCCGCCGAGCAAACTGCTTCGCCGTCCAGCATGGGCCATAATATGCCAACCCCTTTGGCAGGCGAGCATGTGCCCCCCTTCAAACCCCTACATCCCCTACATGTGTCCTCCGTGCACATGCCCGCAAGTACGCGCACAAATCGCACAACCATGAATGCGCGGTACGCTAACACAAGCACGACATCAGGACTCTTAAAGCTTGGCCCCTTTACTGCTTGCCATATCCCCGAACATTCTCGACTCACCACGAGCGGAGGTCCTTTGCCTTCTTGCCCGGCACGAACTTGAGGAGACTCGGCCCAACTTTGAGGAGTTTCAGGTAGCCCGCCAGCCTGTCTTCCTCCTTCCCGCTACCGAACTTCGAGAGCAGGGCCTTCACCGGTGCGGGGGGGCCTCCGGGGCCTTTCCCAGACTGAAGGCCCCGTCCGCCGGGCCCCGTGCGCGTTACAACACATCGCGGCACGTTGCGGCACGGGTTACAAGCTACAGGTGAGGCAATCTCTGCACCGAGGTATTGTATTGTAGTTGTTTGCTCGACGTCTAGGTTGCCTCCTCCTTATCCTCCGTTTCCCTACTTTTCTCGCCTTCCGTTGGTCAACAACCACCCTCCGCTCATCTGGAGAGTGAAATAGGTTTACCTGCGCCATGGAGAACTCGCCGATACTGGTGCTGGACATGAGCTCGAGGGCCGATTCAAACACCAACCGGATGGGAATGCGGTCTATCCTGTCTTTCAGGAACTTCACCTGAAGGAGGGGTAAGTTCAGACCGACGGGAAAAAATACTGTGAAAAAAGATGTTTCTGAAGCATCTGTAGGCTCGACAACTTGAGGGGTAGAAGCACACCGAAAGACTGGCGGTTCTCGTGAATCATCCTATGCATGCTAGTGTACGAATTCCGACGACTGCTGCTGTGTTTCAGATTTAAGTGTCAAAACACGGATACACATTGGTTACTGTTCCAGCTACTCGCGAAAGACGATAAGACCACGCCGACAAACGAGGGTTGTGTACATGACGCAAACAAGAGGACCAATTCATAGGTGGGGCGCACCTGCTGGCTGCTCCACTCCCTCCCGCATCCAATCTCTACTCGGCGTCACTGCTGCATATTCGTAACTTACACTCATCCATGTCCATTGAGTATGCTACGAGAACTCACGTTGTCGTAGTCGAACACCAGGCTGGCGAAAAAAGCATCCGCCGTCTCCAGGGCGGCGGCGACTCTAGGTGAGTTTTCCGCGATATCTCTGTCCGTAAAAACAACCAGCTCAAGCTCGGGACACACCTCACTCAGCTCATTGGCCTAGGTGCACACGGGAGGGAGGTACGCGATGAGGAAACAAACACATTGATCAAGTGTCATAGTGTGTTCGGTAGCATGCTATTACATAATAGAAAAAAAAACTCACAGCCATTCGATAACATTTGATATCATTGCTGTAGACGAAAAGCAAACAGCCTGCTCCTCAAAATGAAAACGGTCACCATATTTGCTCCGTGATGCTACATAGCAGCTGCCCACCCGATCCTGCTCATGTGATCCATGTGCAGCCTCACCACTTGTTTGTAGAGTTGGAGATTGAAGGCCTCGAAGCCGGCGACGAGGATTATCCTTGCCAGGGGTGTCACCTCTCGAAAGTTTGAACGCTTTGCCTTGCTGGGCCCGCGATATTTGGCCTACGCGGGGAGGGGACGACAACAGGACGGTCTGCCTTACAGTAGTCTATAGCTGTACCATAGGGTAGCCTGCTTCCGACATCCCGTCGTCTGCAAGATCCCAGTATTCATATGTGTACCGTAGCATCATCTTGTATCATGTTTCTCCAGGTGCCGTACCAACACGCAGAGATTTCGATTACAACTACAGAATGCAGTCGAACTGCCAATTATGAAGCATAGGGCTGGGCATCATCAGGTTGTTAGCCGACTGCAAACCACACGCCAACTCCTACTGGATGTACTGCTGTAACCAAGTACATAGATTAAACATTCGTGCGATTAACCCGCCAGCATGCAGACCGTTTCGGTACACAAGATACGCAAGGCGATCCAAAAATAGATGATGCGCAAATTCAACACGGCCTATTTGCACGGCCAACGCGATTTGGGTCCAACGCCCACGAAGAACTCCGCGATCGACGAGTGCAGGCCTGCATGGCACACCTACAGGGCCAATCTTTACGGCGTATTGTCGGAGACAGTGGTACCCCTTGGTACAAGACTCTTCCAGAACGAATCAAATATTTGTCCCGCGTAACAAAGAGTCGGTGAGCTGAGTCGACGGCTGCCACTTTCCTCCTGTTCTTGGTGTGGTGACGACTGCTGTACGCCCGACGTTCAAATTCGCACACACCTTGAATCCATAGACAAGCTACGGGTGTGAGTGCCAGGGGGGTGCGCTCAGGATGCGCACATCGATGTTGCAGCAGACGTCTCCCCATGCTACTGCTGCTCGCCGTGGTCAATCCGGGACTCATGAAAGAAAAAAACAAAAGTGCATATGGTAAGAGAGTCAATGGTTTTGCTACTTGCACCCACCTGCCGCGTTGACTTTGTACTGCCATTGGATACAGCAAGGGCAGATTCCTCGGTCGTACTTCGCAGAACCACACGAGGCCGCGGGGAAGTGCGGTATTTTGTTGATGAATATGTGTAGGAGGCTGGCGGGGCATATCTCCGACCGCCACCTGGTTGACGCAGGACGCGAAATGCTCCGCCAAACTGTGCGAAGATAAGGAGCGCAGCACTTGGTCCTAATCTCCCCAAGCGTCCCATTGTTCGCACACACCAGTGTAATGCTGCTCTAGGGTGTGCGTGTGCGACGAAAATAAACGTGAACGGCAATCACACACACAACGGACGATGCTGATACACAGCACTGCTCGAGGTGGCTCCGCAGACAAACAGAATGACATGATACCACTATGTTCCCGCCAACTTATTTCCTGTCTGTGTGCCCACTTTTCCGGCGGGAGGAATAGCACACCAGCAGCAGCGCACACAGCAATTGCTGATGAAGGGCGGGGCATTTTTTTGTAGCGTGGCAGGGTAGGAGACAGCAGCACGATGATAAAGAGAACTACGACGGTGTGGGTGTTGTCCTTGGTTTGTTGCTCCGGGCTTGCACCTCCTATTCTCCTCGAGAGGACCACAACACCTACCCCGGGATGGAAAGGAAGGAAGAACTGGAAATCCGGTGGGTAACGGGGTTGGGATGTGTGTGGAAAAGTATCCTTTGTAGGGTCCGCGACTTCCTGGGATATCCCTGCTGCGCATCCGCAGTTGTCATACTTGCCACACCGCTGCTTCTCGATCCGCTTCCTCTGAAGCTGAGAATTGGCGGCATTGCGACCTTCATCATATGTTTCCATAGCCTCCTTGACAAGGGCCGTTGTATGCATGTAGTCTACCCAAGTATCCGTCTCTCCTTGTTTCCACGAAATGATATCTCTCCGCGACACCCGTTACAAACTGCTGCTGGCGAGACGGGTTGTTAGGGGGCACTTGTTGACCTACAGCCCCTTCGACCCGAAATATTATGTGCGTCTGCATCAGATTGGAAGCCGATCGTGTAGATCTTGATTCATCTGCTTGGAAGAATGTTTTTGTCTGTTCAGGGCTCAAGTAGACTAGGTGTTGTTCTCTTGAGGCTTGTCCAACGTATCAAGAAAAACGTTCCGATGGCTGCTCCGTAGATACCATTAGCTACCTAGAAGCAGTATACCAGATCCGTGCTTGGTTGAGCTGATGCGGGCGCCTTGTACGTCTTCACAGGATATCAACACCACAAGGGTTTGCATACACAAGCTGAAAAGCAGATCCTTGTTCCGCAAAAAATCAACACGAACGCGGTAACATTTCTAGTCTTCACCTACTCTGAAGTCTACAGCAGTACAGCCGTAGCAAAGAGATTCGAATCAAGCAGCTCGTCAAGAGGCGAAGAGGAGAAGATGGCACCCCCCCCTTCACCGATTTTCAAAGCTCGATTGCTCCACAACCAAGCTGAGCTTGTGCCAACGCCAACACCAACAACGGTGGTTCTGGGAACATGTCATCTTTCCACAGACGTATCGGGCTCCTTCCGTACCCCCTTGGTCGTGGAGCAATTGGAGAAATTGACCTTATCTAGGAGAGGTGCCATATCTCCACCTCTTACTACTTCAGCTGGGAGCTTGGTAGTCCTCTGATTCTGGAATGCGGGTTCGCCTCTCTCTCTGACTTGAAACATTAACATTCGCAGGTTAGGCGTGGAAAACTCCTATCGCGCCACTGCTACGAAGTATATCGTACGTCAACTTCAGTATTGGTGCTTTTGCCAGGTCTCGGAGCGTGAGTGATACCGTATGTATCATGTCCATGCCCTGTTTGTTTCGACCTGATGCGGTCCGATTTTTTGGACATTCGATGTCCCGCGGACGTACCCTGTTTTGTCTAGTTTGGACCAGTTCGAGAAAGAAAAGCCCTGGTTCGCAGAGCCTAAGGCGTTCTTCCAGACGTGTACACAGCGACAGCAACAGCAGCAAACCAACAACAATGACAACGACAACTACTACGGGTGGCTCAGGCCCGCTACTGTCGCTCACGTCCCCCTCCCTCTTCCCCGTCTTGTTGTCACCCCTCAAAAGTACTCCGAGCGTCGACGCCTCCGCACGGTGACTACGACTACGGGTATGACAGCAATGACGGGGTTGATCAAAGGACACTTCAGCGGCAGGGGGAAGAGGTTGATGTCATCAACGTTTCGGGCAACGGCCAGGCAGCTGGAGCAGCGGCGACAGCAGCACCAGGACCAGTAGCAGCAGTGGCGAAGCGTCCAGCGTTTGGTACCGTAGCGGAAGATCGGAGCCCAACGCAAGACGTCCGGCGACGGGCCATCAGCATCGGCCAGCTGTTTGGGAGGACGGCTACGACGACGAAGAAGTCGAAGCGAGTGTCTGGACCGAAGGTGCGACGGGAGAAGTCGTGTAGTTGTACCTACAGAAGCAGCGTACGGGGCAACACTTCTCCTGGCCAAGTTCCCAGGTCGCAGAGCACTGCTGTTTCGATGTCTCTCTAGACCCCTCTTTCTGGTTTGGATGTCTGGGTTAACAGCTTTATGCCGTCGGGTAGTTGAATGCGAAAGAATGACTATTGGTAAGACGTAGCCCCGGGATTGAACACTGCTGCCTTTTGGTGTTTGTGATAGCCGCTATAACGACCCATAGTGCTGGTTCAAAGGCACCCACCCTCGTGGGACCCATGCGACCCGTATGCATACAACGAGCAGACTTAGCGCTCGTGCCTGTTGAACCACGCTTTCCGAACACCGAGCACACCCTCGCACGCGTTTTTCGCCTCCACCCTTACGGTACACCACCGCCCTGTGCGCCTGCGAAGCACAAGCAGCAGCAGTTAGGTACCCGACCCCCCGGGCTGGTGTGGCGAGCGGGGGTCAAGGGCATGGTCCCCCTGGCGACGGCTATCGGCTTGTCGGTCACTCCGTCCAGGTACCTGGCGGTGAGGGCGGCGGGAGGGGCGGTGCTGGCCATCGCGGCTAACGTGTTGAGACAGGCAGTCGTGGCGACGAGAAAGAGACAGGCTCCGGACGCCCTGCTGGAGCTCGTGAGGAAGGAGGGAGCGGGCAACGTCACCAGAGAGCAGGTGGGGGCTGGCTTTTGGATTGTGGTGCTTTGCTTCGATCATGTTTCGTTCGTTGGTGTGGGCTTGGGGGG